GATTCGCTTCCTTGCGAAGGGAGATTATTCTTTTGTTCCATTCGGTTATCATTTCATCTCGCTGACAACACAGTATAAAAGCAAAAGAAAGAGAAATGGAGTTGAACACAATGTATTTTATGTAAAACTGATGATCTTGATTGTTATGATTACGAATGGGAAGCAATTTCACAACACATGAGGTCCAAAAGGTCATCTAGAACACATGAAATTAATTATTAAAAAATAATTCAGCAATTTCTATTCAAGCTTCAATAATATCAACATTGATTCGTTGACTAGTGAACGATGGATTCAGTATTCATTTCCAAAAAAAGTCTTACAATTTAACACAGTTAAGCGGCCAAAAATATTTGATATTCAAGAGTATGTCATCAAAGCTGAAGCAATTTGAGCTTTGACAGTTGTTCAACGTGATTATAACTTCAATTCGTGTGATGATATTGGAAGTGTTGTTTTTCGTCATATATTTCCTGATTCGAAAAGTGCACAAGAATTCAGCATGCAATTCAAAAAATATTTCATATTTTATATCTCATGGTCTTGATTCCGATTTCTACAAGAACTTGTTAAATCGTTGAAACACACTGAAAAATTTGTCTTACGTTGCGACCAATAAATCGGCAATCAACATTGTAAACAATTAGATTTATTAGTAAAATTCTAGTATTACGATAAAGGATAAGTTGTTACTGGATATTACAAGTCTATTTTATTAGGACATGTAACAGCAGCTGTTGTATAAATAGAAATCAATTTTTTTTTTTGGAATATTTATTTAATTCGGTTTTGCTAGTATTTATGTGATATGTATAGAACAGTAGAAAATAAATCGAACATAAATTAACCTTGTTTTTTTATTTCTAGAGAAAAAAAAAACTGTTCTATGATTTTTTTTCCAACACTTGAGGACGCTTTTGGTTTAGCTCATCATACACACGTATAAAAGTCTCTCATCTGCAAAACTGTTACAGCGTTTTACAAGTCTAAAAAAGTATAAAAATCAAAACTAGCGTCCTATATATATATTCAATATATTCGAACAAAATCCTATATAAATAATACCTTACAATCTTAATATATTCCTGTATTTTCACAGAGTAACGCTACGAAGCGAGTTTATAACCAAAGCACATTTCCAAAGGACGCTAAAAGAGTCTTACAAATGCGTTTTTTTTTCTAATTTCAACAATGCACTCTTGTCCATTCTTTTTTCATCTTTTCTTTTGTCTATGAATCAACTTCGAAACTCGAGCATTTTTATATTGCATCTTTCATTGAAGTTATTGATATTTTAATTCGATATTGTGATAAATGACCACAAGGAATTTTTTCGAACAATTTTCATTTAAAATCTTTCTAATTAATTGAAAGATGTAAATACTTTTGGTAGAAGCAACTGAATAAATTATACTAATGGCGATATATCATCTTCTACATTATCTAACCATCAGTACATGGGTACAGGTCTGCTATCGATCGTTTCTGAACGTATTCTTTCAATCAGAAAGGTCATATATAAACAAGTAGCTATTGTCCATTTATGTAGATGTTGAATTGAATCTCAATATTAACAATTCTAGACTAAAGAAAACTTACTTGAAGTTGATGATGTTGTTGTAGTCGTTGTCGTAGACGTTGTAGTTGTTGTCGTAGTCTTTGTTGTAGACGTTGTGCTTGATGTTGTAGTCGTTGTTGTAGATGTTGTGCTTGTTGTTGTAGTTTTTGTTGTAGACGTTATGCTTGTTGTAGACATTGTGGTTACTGTAGTTGCTGCGATTAAAGCAAAAAGTTTTCAGTTCAATCCTTATGATATTAAAATCTATATGATGATCGACGCATTTTTATTGGATATAAAAACCTTCTAGGGAAATATTTTTAGTTGCGAAATGTTATTCCTAGAATCTTATAAAAGTAGTAGCAATCAACAGATTATTATATTTGTGCCAGCTTATATAATAGAGAACAGGAAATAGATATTTTCGATTTAAGAATTTCTTTCAAAATTTTCAATGTTTTTAACGTTTAACAGGTGTTCGATAAAAAAAAACAGAAGATTGGAAATTACGTTTTAAAGAACTACCTATGGAAATTCGACAGGGCCAATTGACCACATACACCATCAAAAATAGTGCTAACAAGTGCGAAAAATATTTTTCAATTGTAAAATGAGATGATAGAAAAATGTTATTTAGACAGTTTTGTGGAGCAAATCAAGGTCTATCGATTGGTATACGACTTGATTTGAACAGTGATGAATTTGTGACTAAAAAGTTCAAAAATGTTTATACATCTATTTTTCATACTTTTTAGCACTATTTTTGATAGTGCATGCAGTCAGTTGGCCCTTGAGAACCACTACAGATAATTATTCAGAGCGTAATATTATGAATTCACATATGGTACACAAGAGCTGAAATTTCTACGAGATCAAATTCAAAATCTGTTGGCTCCCATATTTTTCGATATTTGAAAATATTTGATCTTTTCATGAATTTCGCTTAAACTGAAGAACCAGTTCAATGTGTATTTTCTTGGACAACATATAGACATTCATAATTTTCTAGTTTTAAAATACATTTCTTCGTTTTTCTTTAAAATCATATTATGCAATATTTGATTCAGTGCAGTTTAATGAGTTACTTTTGTCGATTAAATATTGTTTCAAAATTAGCAGAACTGGAAAACTAACTGTGCATTCAAAGAATATTTGCGGCACAAAAAAATAGAGATCATAGATAGAAGAATATCTTGGTTAAGTCGGAAGTTAGACTTTATCGTTTTACACGACTACGTTCTCATAAATTAAACATGTAGATTAAAAAAATGTTTTTTTTCTATCGTTGTTTAGATTTCATGTCGAAAATTGTGCAGATGTATTAATTGATTTAACATTCGTGTAAAATACATGCAGCTACCTTCCAGTCAATTTTCATCTATTATTGTTTCCTAATACATTTTAATCTACCTTTACCTGTTTTTTGATTTTAATCTTTACTTATTAAATAATCGGTTTTAATCATATGCCTCGAAAATAGACGCCTTTGCCGAGATTCGAACACGAAATCCTAGTTTTCCCATGATCTTTTTTTTGGATGCTCCATGGCAAGAAATCCTTAGGCTATTGTTAAGCTAGTGCCTGACATATATACTAAAGAATTTCAAAAATGAAATACTCACGAAATATTCCAATTAAGTGTTACTTATACATGCTTTCTGAGAGTTCTTTGAAGGCAGATCACACGGTTCGTGACGGGTACAAACCCTATTCCACATGTTTCGGATGTATGTGTGTGTGGGCGGAGGAGGGAGGTCATGCTCTGAATTTCTACATCATATATATCAACAATCCTTTCATATTCTGTTTTATAATAAACGATTATTTCGAATTTTCCAAAAATAATCGATTTTTTCCGATTTTTCACCGAAAAATCAATTTAAATCAGATTTCTAGGCTGTTTTTTTTACATGGGACAGTGAAATAATTTCATTTGTTGTAGTACATGAATTTTTCTATTGACATTAAATGTCGGAGAAAGAGAGGAACGAGAAAAAAAAGAAGAAGTATCTTCATTTTGGCTACTTTGCGGTATAGGGCGCTGTCTGAAGACAGTTTCGAAAGGCTCGATATTTTCCTACATCTATTATTAGATGTAATTTTGGATAGAAGGCCGGCCTGACTTAGAGTTCGTTTCGCTTAATTACTTAAGCTTCCCGTGCATACTGACTAACCACAAGAACTTTTTTGTATCGAGGGACAAGAAATTTCCAGTTTCTTGGCCTCGGTTTTGAATTTAAATTAGCAATTATATTTCATATTCGAACTTTGAATAAATATTGGATTACAGTACGATGAATAAGAGATAATTTTATGATTAGATAGACAGCTACGCTACTATATATTTGTTGAAAATACGAACAACGACAGTTAACATAATTAAAAAATAAATAAACATTTCGTGCTTTTGACTTACTTGTCATTGCTGATTCTATGAAGAAATATACATTACTTTAATGTACAAATAGAACAAAAGGAAAGAACTTACTTTGTATTGTAATAACAACAACAGTAGTGATTATACTCAATACTAGCGCTACTCCTAGGGCGCTGCAGAATAGACAACAAGCACGAGCCAATGTTCTTGAACAGAAAAGCAAAATATTCAGCCTGAACTTAGAAAATTTATTGGAATTTTTTTTTTGGTTAGCTGTTTCAAAATTAATTTTTTTGCTTCTGACCAATCTCAAATACAAAGTCATTGTCAATATTATAAGCAAAAGTTTGATCGAGAGTTTCATCAAATTAGAAGTGATATTATTACTAACTGTAAAAAGTCATTCAATTTATTTTGTTTTTAGAATACATATGTAAACATAACGTTTAGCTTTCCTAGCAAATAAATGAAAGATCTATTCATTTATCATGTTTGTTTAATTATTAAATAGAGTCTTCAAAAATATTAGAAAACTTTTCGCTTCGGATATATCAATAATAGTGTATTTTAGAAGATGCTCTCTTTTCTTGTTGAAATAATTTCTATTCATAACAGTATTAAATTACGGCATGAACGCACCTCTAAGAGACCAATCACGTCATAAAAGTAAAAGAAAAGTCTCTATCTAAATTTGTAGCATTTAACAGATTCATCTCGAAATAAAGTATATTTTGTTTACATACCCATGGAGGGGTCGGCGACGTTTATGCTTTCTCGATCTATTTGATTTCTTCGTTTGCCATTGTTTTGAAAAGTCTAGTATCTCATTTAATTTCTAAATAAATAAGAATCAAATTAAACACAAGTCGTCCGGCGATAAAATTTAGATTCTCGATTAAGATTTGTCAAATGATACATCATTATTCGAGACATCTAAATCCAAGATATGTACTGCATCTGAAGACGCCTCAGAAGATGCAGCTATATTTTCTCTACAAAACAATATACGAGCAACATTGTTACTTGAAAAAAAAACATGATTTTGTCTTATTCTGCCTTTAACCAGCGCGAATGATTCTACTCAAAATAATATTTCTATTGGCATAGATGAGTGGTTACACTGCTCAATACGTATCTACAATCACATAGTTTTTTATGTTGACCACTTATTCAAAAAATCATTAATGGGGAAAATATTGGACGGAAAGGGATGCTGATACTGTTGTCTGTAAGAAGACAAAGATCAGAAAACCTGGCTGCATGTGGACTCTAATAATGGCTGGCTCCAACAGGCGATAAGCCTACGGAAACTATTATTATTTGAATTCTGTTAGTAAAAGGTAGAGAATATCGCAAGTGCTAATAAATCATTGTCATTTTCATTTATGGTGTTCATTTCTTGGTCTCTGCGCACATTATACATTCATTCTAATAAAAAAAGATGAGTTGATATTCATAATTAGCAGGAAGAACTACATCGATTATACTATTTTCAAAAATGTTTTTAAATGTGTCATATATCACCTGCTTGGTTGAACGCCGAGGATAGAAGTGATTATACTATCGAAATTCGTTAACTGCCAATTATTATACATAGTTAGAAATATCATTAGTTCTACTATTTCACTATATAATAGAATAAATTGATCTATCTACTATATTTTCATAGTAATTCGAAAATATATATGGTGAAGAGTTACTAGGGCTGGTCATAGAAGGATTTCAGGTCGCATTGCATTCTAAAATCGTTTCAAACAATTAGTGTTTTATGTCAGTCTATGCAGGAAACGATGCTTAACAAAACTGTATAAAAATATAAAGTATATATATCTGATCCAGAATATTTTTTATACAAAGACTACATCGATGCTATCAGATTAATAGTTTGAATCGATTTTTCTCCATTGTTCAAACAAGTACTGGCGCCATTTTTTATTCATGTACAGCTGTTACAATGTTCTCTAAAACTACAATGATATTTACAGGAACTGCTGCACGTAAGGTTCAACTTTGTAGTATGAAATCTACCTAAAAATCTATGTAGGATAAGAAATTATCTCATACATTACGATGAATTGGTGATGCTGGCCATCCAGTATGCTTGTGTTGTACATTGTTTTGAGTATTCTCTTCTACTTTTAAGTCTAATGATTTTTCAATATCGTTACCAACCAATCTTTCTTGCGATGTTGTATTCTGTGTAACAGAGGT